CCACCGACGCAGCCCCAAACAGTTTCTTTCGAAACTATCAGCCTTTATTCATCTTTTGATATTGCTTTCCAAAAATGTGCTGTAGACACATTTATGATAAAGGGACGAGAAAAGTGGGAGTTTCATTCCCTGCTCAGTTTCTGTCTAACCCCCCTTCTTTTTAGACCAATATTTCCACCTTTGATGCCGAGCCACTTTAAGCAAGATATCTGTTGCTTGAACGTAATTCCACTTACTCATTATGCATCCGTAGAGTTCAAATCTGAAGGCAACATTGTTGTGGTATTCTTGTGGCTCGATATAGATAATCTGTACGTTTTCAGGTGCAAAGTTGTTTCTCACAATCGTATTTGAGTCACTGTTTCCTTGAAACAGCTAGAAGTAAAAGTATATTTATCAGATTTGTAGGTAAAAAGACAGCTTTTTAAGACAGATGGATTGAATATTGAAATGAATATTGAAATTGTTAGTGGGAGTACCTTATTTGGCTGTGATCTTAGAAAAAAAAATCTTTCCAAAGGAAACATTGATTAATTACTGAGAAAGAGGGCTTGAGAACTTTAAGTTAAAAAAATGCAGGAGCGGACATCCACATATGAAATATAAACATTACCCGTTAGCCGTCATTTCAACTCTTCTTTCGTTAGATAATAGTAAAACTCACCACTCCATTCTAAAATCATTTTACTGTTCCGTTTTCCGTTCTACTCACACCCTTTACCTTGGGTCTCCCACGGCTGTCCTTTACATAAAGCTTTTCCGTACTGCTTTGACGCGTGAACCCCACGTAATACTGTTCGACCCATTCTTCAACTTCAGGATCACCAAACCCTTGCGTCGCCACTCCAGTTACGACTGTCTCTGTTTCGAACTTTACCAACACGAACTTGTATTCTAGTTTACTCTCTTTTGCAGCTCTATACCCGCCAGAGACATTTATCTTTGCCTCAATGGAATGTCTCCCCTTAGGGTGAATGGACAAAGACAACAGCTTAAATTTTCCTGATATTATTCCAAGAGGAAGATTACAAGCAACTGCAAAGGAAATCGACAAAGAAAAAACTCCTCATTAAGTTTATCATCTTTGAAATGTCTATAAAAGAGGGCACTACGGGTCTTCCTCTTTGAGAGGTTGAAAACGTCAATAAGGGACTATGTGAAACAGTGTTTCACAAGCATAGGACAAGGAAAAAAAATCTGTATCTCTGGCGTGGAATAGTACCTCAGGCTAATCAAATTTCTGGTTCGGAAGCATGCGACTGGGGTCACGAGCGTTCATTCGTGTTTTAAGCCCCAAGGGTCACACGAGGTACGCGCAATCAGGTTGGATAAGCATTGTCGAAGTATCTTTTTTGTATATAGGCCTACCTTCAGATGGCGAGACTGTGTCTTGTGCGTTGGAGATACAGAAGGTAAAGCTAAAAGAGGCGATGATGAGTATTTTCGCCATAATGTTATCCAAGGTGCCCCCTTCTGCTAATAAATCACCAGTGGCTCACGTGGGCCTGAAAAGAGGACAAAAAGTGTTTTGAGACAAGTTCAATATGAGATACTGTGAGTGATTATTCTCGATTCAGACAACGTAAATTGATTTGGTAGAAACCTTTTAATAATCAATCTGTAAGCACTGCCTGGTAAATTTTCTTATGCAGTGATGCACAAATGATTTATCTATGAAATTGATTTATCAGATTCGCCGACAGGCAGGGACACCGCAACAGCTTGCGTCAATTACTGCGGGCCCAGTAAACCCACCCATCCTACCCCAGGGGAGGACATCCGCCGCACAGTAATTTTGTGCGTGGGAAATTAACGTCTCCTACCCCTAGCCCTGCAGGAGACGGGGCCTACGGTTTATTCGTCCTTATCTGAGAAGACTAGAATATCTATCCATTTCTTGATATTATAGAAAGGTAGCAAATTCTCCTCAGTTATTTTAAGACCCTGAGTGTTGGTCCGGCTGGGGCTTGAACTCTCGACCTCTCGCACAACAGTCCGGCGCTCTACCAGTAGAGCTAACCATGAGGCGGTTATAATAAAGGGACAATAAGCTAAAATGGAATCATGACAGACCCTTAGACGATCAAGTTAGCCATTCAAAGAATAATTAAGCCACCTGAGATCTAAAAACAAGCTACACTTTGTTAAAGAATAGAATGACAGGAACTTTTCAACTAACTGGAACTTGGTAAAATTAATTGGAATTGTTATTTGTATTTATGTATATGTGCATGTATTTGCTGGTTTGAATGGGGGCCTATATAAACAATAAGAGGGGCAGACCAAAACATTGGGAGCTACAAGTTGTTCAATGATTTCTTATGTTTGTTTTCGTGAGAACATGTACAAGCTTAAAATTAAAGGAAGTGCTTTGAATTCGGGATTCACTTTCAAGTGTGTACGCTCGGGATAACTTATTTAATTGCAGTGATTCATAAATTAGTATCTGGCATGGTTTTTAGTGCAAAAGAACATGACCAACCCAATATATATGCTAATATTGATTTGTTTTTAGTGTGAATTAGCCATTTCCAGAGGCACTTTAATTAAGAAGCTAAATAATTCTTTTCAGTATTGACCCTTTGACCTAATACAAGTCTTCGCTACTTCTTTCAGGAACGTCTAGAACTACTGATTGAGTAACATCAAGTGTGCTTTGCCACTCGTACTGAAGCAATGCCAAAACAATGTTTTTCCAGCGAATATTACTTTTTTTGTGGCCATTATATAAAAAAACTTGTAGGTTGTTATTCAAATAGTGTGACTCGAACACTGACTACGTCCCAATTGAGTAGGTGTTGCCATTTTTACGCCTTTTCCTCCAAAAATGAACTGTTTACTCTTGTTGTGGATTGTTATTACGTAGCTACCTTCAAACTCTATTTCTGTAGATGTACTATTGTTTTACTTAAGTATCTTTCGAGAACAGTTTTTATTTGTCACGTTGGTTTATATTTATACTTTGGCCAGGCGAACTACGAACGGAAGTGAAAATTCAACAAGAACAATATTTGGTACAGGCGCGGTTTGGTTACAACCTACAACGCAAGGAATTACGAGAGCATAGATATGAATAGATGATAGTTAGATGAACTGCTGTCAATCTCCTGTCAGTTCCTCACTGGTTACAGTAGAAGAACGGGCAACAATCTAATGATCATTTTATCAGTTAGCAGCCACCAGTTGAAATTTAACGTTAAAGCTGCAAGTTGAACTTCTGCCAAACCATGAAACAAGTGAAAAAGTACAGGCGCACTTCACTTTGTTGGTTGGTTAGCTAGTCCCCCAACAAAAAGCTATCATAGCAATTGATTCGAATTTTAACCTCTATATAATTTAAAAAATTTTTCACCGAAACTTTACTCATAACGCATTAAGAATAACGTTTTTTGGGAATGTTATGAGGTGATCACATTTGTACAACAAGTTGATACCTACCGTCTGTAAACAAAAGTGTGCATTGCAAAGGGGGATTAATCTGTAAAAAATTCAGCTATTTTTAGTTTGTCTTACTTAAAATAAGATGCCTGGTGCTTCGATATCTTTTGTAGGTCTATTCTGTCCACCCGTTGGTGGCTCTGCAGCCTAAAATCCGTGTTAACGAAGAACAGCTTGTTAATTCGCAGAGTTTTTTCATCTGGTTGTTTTCAAATTACTTTGAAGTAGCAGCGGTTTACAGGAAAATTTATTCATTTAGGTACACTTATTAGATGATGTGGCTGGTCCTTCAATGTAAACAGGAGGATTCTTGAATTAATCGAAACCTCAAGAACTGCTTCCTACTGAAAACAATATCACTTAAACTGAGAAATTTCCGTCGTTCAATTTTTGGTCTAATTATGTACCATAGCGAGTGAGTGCGTCAAGGGAAGAGTCCTACGGCGAAAAGCATTCCCGCCTAATTATCTCCATGTTAGGAAATAAAATGAAAAAAAAGCAAGCTAGAAAGATGACAGTTCTTTACGCAGGATAGAAGACAGGACAGAAAACAAAGATTACAAATATTTCGTGTCTTTTTGCAATTTTTTTTTCTCTCAGCCAAAACACTGAGATTTAATTAGATAGGATTTTTCGTCGTCTTATGATTATGCTTTTTCATGTAAATTTTCTTAACCGTTCACAAAACTTCTTATCTTTGACTTGAAAAAGCGTGGAAAAAACAAAGGCATAGCAGATGCGAGGTGCATGATGCATTTATTAGTCAAATCTTTTGTTTTATTGCTCTTAATTTTGAGTGGAAGAGTTAAGTGTAAAATGAGAAATAGGAAGTATTAACTTTGAAATTTGTGTCGGTGTATGTGTGTGAAATTGTTCCGATAGGTAATATATGTTTCTGCGTTTTTATTTTTACGAATCATTGTGGGGAAAAATTTGCAAAATTTTCTAATAGCGCAATACCTCCAAGTCGTGACAGCCCTTCTCAGCCTATTTTGCGAAGTGCAGGCAGATGTTGAAAACTCCCACACAGCTAAAAAAGGCTCACTGAATGATGATTGGATGAGACCACTTCCCTTTGCAAATATGGGAAGTTTCGATTATGTGCTGTCAACTATTTTTCAATTATTGCGGAACTTCAATGACGATGTGAAACGAAAAACTGCTACATTGAAGACCTGATCAAAAGGGATTAAATCCCACTTGCGACGCTCTTTGTAAGGGCAGCTTTCGACGAGAACAGATTAGGATTAATTCGAAAAAGTATGTTTCTTTTTCATCCCTTGATATCCAAGGATGTCTCATTTTCACTTGTAAAAGCGACACATTTACGAACAAACAGGCAAAACAAACAAAGAAGTGTACGACTTGCAATTAGTTTTATTATTCTTTGCCAACACGAAATTATGAAACGGAAATAACATGTGTAGCTATCAAGGAGTACTTGATATGGTTTAAACTGGTAAAGAAAGGGTTCAATTAAATGTTAGTGGAAATAAAGGCATTTAAAAAAACCTACGCATGTAAGTTACTTTCGCGAGATGGAATTTGGAATTGTTTTCTTATTTGTGGCTCATTCTATCCTTGCAGAAATATTAATGTATTTCAAGTTTTTTGTTGCTTTGCAAACGAGACGAGGAAGTTTCCCCATGCTATCAGTTTTGCGATCTCAGACGTCTGAGGTAGATGTAACTAAAGAAATTCATTTCAATTAGCCCTTTTTCTTATTTAATCGAATATTTTTCCTTCACTGCCAGAAGCAAGAATGTACTCAGGATCATGTCGGCTCACACGAGTTTTCCCTGTGGCCAACTTACGTTCTTATCACCGTCGTTGTTTTTTACAGGGAAAAGTCCGGTAAAATCCAGTATTAAATAGATGAGGTATTATTGAAATGCCACCTCGGGATACCTTGATGTGTTGCACCGAAATAATTGGTTACTCCTACCGTGCTAAAGAAATAAATTCCTCTCACATTTGCCTGCTTTACCATCTGCTTGGATTATTTGGATTTCGAAATTTTTTCCTACTTACCTGCATTGCCAAGTTTTCTCTTCTTGTTGCATCATCGTGGCTTTATCTGCGAAACACAACGAAATTAATATTTCTGGCAAGGAAGCCTCCCCGTGTGAAGACGGTGGTATGATCAATTGTTATGAAATGTCATCAGACTTCTAGCTGTTTTTAGATCAATGATTATTTTTGCCGATCGTTTTTAGTAGCCTCTAATCTGGTTTTTACTAGGAGCCGAAAAACGAAAATTGTGCACCTGATACGTCAAATAGTGCCTGGAGTTCATCCTCCAGGTGCACTTTTCTGTTGAAGTTTTATTTGCTATTAATTTATCTGTCATTTTGTTTTGCAGTTTTTATTTTTCTGTTTTGCCCTTAGAAGAATAATAAAAGCTTTTGTTTCGATTCGAGAACAGTGAAAGAAAAAAGCGCTTCGGAGTACAAAACAATTACAAATTACGTCTTTGTCAGGAAACAATTTTGAAGCATTTTAAATCCAGCCAAATTAAACTAGATAAAACACCGAGTTACCGTCATGACACCTCCGTCTTTCTTTGAACCCCGGGACGCATCCAAATACTTGTACTAATCTAATACAAGCCTAGAAATGTTTTTTGTCGCTACAAATTCGTTTTGGAGTTCTCAGGACAACGTAGACACAGCACCATTTTTCTTATTTTTTAATGGAAAGGGTTTTAGTTTTCGGAGCTTAAATAAGAAAGACTTCTGCCAATCAGTGTGTTTTGACTTAGAATGCCTTGAACACGTATTGGGTATCATGGTAACTCGGTATCTGTTTACGTAGTTCAATTTTATTGAAATTCGACTCTATATAATTATGCACATAAATGTTTAAGTTGAAGTTCACTCAAGTTCTAAAATGAAAGCGTTTTAATTTTTCTCATTTTTATAGCACGAGCTTATGTCGTTCAATTTAAACGCCTGTGTTATCTCCTCGGAGATGAGCATAGTTCAATTTGAAAAAAAAAATACATGCCGTGTAAAGTTGCATTCAAACGAAGGATAAAATTAGTATTGGTTTGTTCCTGTAAAAGTAGTAATGCTCTGTCATAGTAAAATGATATCTGACGTAATGATGAATGGAGTAACAACAATAATAATAATAAAAATAATGGTATAAATAACAAACAATGATTATGATGGTGATAGCGTAATAATAATAGTAATAATAATAACAATAATAACAATGAGGACAGCAATAACAAATATAATAATGTTTTGATAATGATAATGATTAAAATGTTGATGATTAATATCAGCATTAATAATAAAAATGAAAATATTGATGATGACGATGACGCTTACGGCCATCCTAAACAAGAGGAACAGACAAGCGAAATCAACTTATTTTTGTTCATTATCACCTCGATTTTCACAAATTTTGCTCCTGACAATTTTTAGGAAATCTTCAATTTGTTGCATGGTAATATGAGTCAAGCTCAAGGTTCGATTAAACGAAAGCTCTTTCTTAATCTGTCTTATTATTAACATTCATTGAGATATGATAGTACTGGTCAACATTTGAAGTTTTGAGTCAAGCTGGTATAATCATTTCATTTAATATGATTTCTCTGGAAGACATTCCCCCGTTTGAGATTTTTCTTGACTGTTTATATTCCAGTATCTTAGATTTTAATGTTTGGTTAGAGGTTTCAGGAGCAGCAGCAGTTTGGATTCAATAGAAACAAGTAAAAAGAATTTGATAGAAACTGAAGATGGAGAGCTTGGGCCATAGAGTAAAAGGTGTCATTTCTCAGTGTGCGACTGTAATGGCTGTACTACTTTCGGAAATATCTTTAAGTATAGACGTTGATTTTCACTAAGAAAGTTTACAAGTAACAAATAATTACAAATCAAACTTACTGGACTCAGTATCATGGAGAGTAGCTTTTCTCCACAATTTTCAGTTGATCAGGAATTTAACTTTGATGCATTTGAATTGCAAAACCGATACCTTTGTAGGTACATCTAAAGTTAATGAACTTCGGCTGAAACCACGGGGTTATCTTGATTTGGTTCAAAGTGATCTTGGCTCATTTAAAATGGTTCAGCTTAAATAGACAACCCGCTGTTTTCTTTGACTAAACGATTGCTGTTTGTAAACATTCACCCTGTGTGCCTAAGGAAACCGCCGACTTTACAACTTCAAATGATAACCGGAGTATTCATAGTTTAGTGCAACCCAAAAAAGTAAATATGAAGTTCCTCTGGTTTCACCATGATATTAATCAGTTATGAATTAATTTTGTTTTTATTTTGTAATGGATAGATTCGAAACTTCTGGAGCTTATAATTCTTAATCCTCGTTAATAAGGTAACTTTACAAGGATGTTTTGTTCGTTTTACAGCTTTTTCTTAGGTGAAATAGTGCAAATAACCCCATCTTGAGGGTAATGCGAATTCTTTGGAAACGATAATGTAAGGTTTTACTCCTTCTTTAACTAACAGTAATTTTCTTGACTGTTGATATTGTTTTTAAAGGACTCCTTTGAGGTTCTGTACATAAACTTTAACAGCTCTTGTCTAAAAGTCTTTTCGATTTTCAGTTCAACTACATATTTGTTGAAACATTTACAAACATTTGGTCCAATGCTATGTCCTGAAAAAGCGTTTCGTCAAAAGAAATCTGAATTGCTTGGTGAAATTATAGTTTTTTTTTTTAATTTTTATTCGTTTCGTTGCTTATTTTTTAAGCCTGATATATTTCGATTAGTCTATCCCACAGAATTAAAATATTATCGTTACGGAAACCATTGACCGAATGACTATGTTCATTCTTGATAAAAACAACCGTGCAAAAAAAAACTCGAGAATTTCCCTTCTGTATTTAGTGTTTATATGCATTAGTCAGACGTCATTTATTTGACGATGGAGTTTCGTCCAATAGATATGTTCCTCTTATACCTTTTAAGACATGTCAAACCTTTCATCTATAATTAGCGAGCTTTTTATAACACTTATTTCAATACAAATGCGGGCTTTGTAAGCTATGAAATGATTTATGTTAAATTTTAAAGTAACTCCGTTCATTTGCATTAGAATTTTGGTTTGATGGTTTCATTAAAGTAACTTACTTCGCAGAATTTTCATGATATCGTTCTTGGAAAAAGTTATGGGTGGAGATTCTGAAAGGGAATTTTCACTCTAACGGAGAATTTTTGGTGGAGAATAAAAAATAACTTTGATTACCTGTTAAACGTGTGATGCTTCTTGAAGATCTATCCGATGCCTGTCTACTTCGACAACTTTTATTACACGTATTACTCGTTTTCATTGTCACATTTGCCTCTGCATTGACGTTTAAGAGTTGATGTAATATCTTTTCTAATCGAAGTAATTTTCCGCCCAGCTATCCCTGACCTGAATTAAATTTCCCTAAAGTTGCGAGTAAATTATTCAGGGCTACGTTTTTGAACCGATAAACACGTTAACCTGCACGAAAATTATTCAACGGTCCTAGAATAAAAGTGGGAGAACGGTATAAAAAAGTCACGAGGTTACTGCTATGTTTTCTTTCAATATCTGTTTGTATGCCGTTTCGCGTTTTGGCATAGGATTTTAGCGAAAACTGAAATCTCTTTCGCCACTATTAGAATTGCTTCCTGTATATTGACGCATTGAACTGCTCAACGGCATTTTAGCAATTTCCCGAACTGCCGAAGAATACGTGCTTACAGCGTATCTGCCAAAAACGTCAATTTAACCTGAATTTTATGATGTACATTTGCCACCCGTTAACATGCTCATGGTCATTTAACTTCAAATTTATTTGAAATTTTCAAGTGGGTGTAGATTTCTTCAGTCAAAGACAGTGACATGACCGGAATATATAGCTGTTCATTTTGTTGATATTAAATCCATTTTAATTTTCTGTTGCACCCGATTCTAAAGAAGTACCGATTTTCTTGAATTCTACTTTGTCACCCCCACATTCTTTTGGGAATTTACTGTTATACACGTTTTATGAGAAATTTTATCCTATGGTAGCGATATCTACCACACTTTTATCATATTTTTATATTCGAACGAAAATTAGGAAATGATACCGGTGACCTCACATGAATTCTTTATGAGGGAACTTATGCTTTACGTAAGAGAAAATCAGGGCTTCAGAAAAAAACGTCAGGGCAGGCTTATGTGGTGATTTCAGATTTGAAATTATCACTGTTATTTTCTTTTGAAATTTTAAGCAATCGATGCAATACGATAAAAAATGTTTGCAATCGAGGTCGCAGTTCACTAAGTTTCAAGGGTAAACTCAGTTTTTAGTCAACTTTTGTCCTGCATTAATATCTGAAACTAGATTGTTGCGAAAATTTTCTTTGTCTTAGGAGATGTGTGACCTTTCGCTATCAAATAATTCTTTACTTGAGCTAAATTGAGGTAACATGTTTCATAGCTTTTAACAGTGGAAGATATTCATCGGGCACAAATGTATGTATGTCTTGATAATTGTTCCGTGCTCCCAATGCCCACTATGTCCTAGAGAGCTTTTATGAGAAACAATTCACCTTCTTTTTCTAAAGTAATTTTGATTTCGTGCGTGCTTTTCGCGTGGTCTGTGGTATTGGAATTACTTGTGCGCCTACATATCTATCAATATTCATTGAAAATTCTGTTTCTGTTATGTTAACTCGGATGTTCCAAGACGTGTTCCTGTATTAGTTCACCATCTAGCGACAGTAGGAGTCATTTTTGGTCACTCGATGATTCCATTAACCGTATACAGCATCACGTTTTCTCTTTGAAATATTTTTGAATGGAAAAGTGTTGAAATCGTGACCAACTTTTTTGTATAAGGACGTTTCAACAAACTCTGCACTTGCTATTACGAGATAAATGATTTGTCCTCAACGAATTTTATTTTTATGTTATTCTTTTAGACACTTTAGCGATAACCTGCGAAAGGCACTCTTTACATCATGGGCGGATCAAAACAGATTTACAGAGGTGTAAATAAGTTTTATATTTCCTTGAAAAGGTGCACACCTTTTGATTTTTTTCAGACCTTAGTTTTGAGTGTGCAAATTGTACTTCTGTCAATAAATAGAAATCCCGTCACACCATCAATCTCATACCGTCGCGAACCTTTTCGCTCAAAAGTACTGAGAATTCGGCCAAATTCTTATACTAATTCGGCCTTTTTTACCCAGCTGACAAGATGGTTAAGGAAAGTTTGGAAGAATCACCGGTCAGCCGGCGTTTTATCTTTCCACTCCTCTCCGTAAGCGGCAAAAAAAGGTGTCTTCAGTGCAGAAGTTGCGAAATTGGTTGTGTTAAAGTCAATTAACAATTTCAAAGCGGCCGGAAATAAAACTTGAGGCTTCAACTTAAAATCTAAACTTTCGTACCTGGTATCCTTTTTTCCCTAGAGTTTTGCTGTTGTCGCTGCAATGACGATGTTGTCGGTTGCAGCGTTCCACGGTTTACTGTTATCCAACTTTTAAAAAAGTAATTAAACGATTCTTTGCTCTGTGCACCTGCTTCTGCTCTCGTTTTAATAGCTTCAAACTCAGATTTTTCTTGCGATAAAGTGAATAAATTGTTTGCTTTCTGTGATGCCAATAGGTGAATGGGATCTGTTATCAGACCGCCAGGGAATACATCGGGTGTCTTCGAATCTTTGCGCCCCCCAATGACGTATTCTGCGAGAAAATTAGATTCATACTATAGAGGTTTCAATAAAATCCCGCCAAGCTCACAAATTTTCTTGTTTAAGGGGAGTTTGCGTGCAGGTTTTCAGCAGGAAATCCATTGAACTCATATAGATTCGTGGCCGTATTTAATAAATATTTCAGTAGTTGAAATGACATTATGGTACGAATATACCGTTTTCTTTCATTTGGTTTGTGACAGCGGTAAAATAAAATGCCTTATGTCAGCTTGCGATTCACCAGAAAACTGAAGGTCAATTTTGTGTCGACATCCCAAAGCAGAACGTACGTTATTTTTATATATCAACCATCTCATAGTTTTAGGGCTTAGATGCTGACGTTTACTCAAAAGGAGATGATTGAGAATTCCTCAGCTAGAAAATATTTTAATTTCAAGCTGGATCCAAATTTTATTCATGACATCTGCTCGCAGTTAAAAGGCTTTTAGTGCTCTCGAGTCGATTCTTACCGAGGTACAATATACTTATTCATATTCTGTACCAATTATTATACTGAGACCCAAACAAGCAGTGGTAACATTTTAATTCGAGCTCGTCAATGGAATGAAAATATACCTCATTTCTTTCTTTGTACGGAGAAATAACGTTTTTTTTAGTCAGACAGCTAAATTAAAATCAACGGGTATTTTCGTCTCAACTCTCGACAAAGCATAACTTAGGCCCTTCGGAACTAAAGCAGTGTACCTTTGTGTTAGTCGTTGAGAAATATATAACAATTTATACCACCAAAAAAAAAAAATAAAAAAATAAAAATCATGATATAACCCTTCTGTGGTCACTCTAGAAAGTTCTTGATTGTATGTTTTGAGTAAGTTTTTTTAGTTGAGACTGAATTGAGTCCGGTTTTAAAAAATTATTCTCAATCTTCATAAAATTGGTTTCTGATTTCCCAAAAGTACTTGCTAATACGAACTAAATTTCCCTTATCATAATAGCATTTGTTTTGGAAAGTGTAAAGATAGCTGACTAGCGAGAAAACCATGCAGGTGTGTAACGTTTTGTTCAAGATTTCTTCATTTCCCTCTTTAAGATTTCATTCAGAACCACTGGTACAAGAAAGTAAATGAATGAATAAATAAATAAAAAAATAAAAAATAAAACTACCTAGTGTTAATTTTTCGAGTCATATGCTCAACCGTTGCAAAATGTAGCGATTACCGTCTTAAATACTAAAAGAAAAAAGTTGATTTTACCTTGCTGCATCCAATTCATTCAAAATTTGTTATTTAAAAATATTCACATATTTTTTTCTAAATAGTTTAAGTTTCAACAAATGGCTATACTTGTGCATTTGATAACCTTACAAGAATTCGGTATCATAGTTTTCGCGTGTCTTGCATTTTTAAACTGACATCTTGCAATACGCCGTTCGACAACTAGATGGTCTGTTTATTAGCACATTTTAGCAACTGTTTTAATTTGTGTTTTTTTTTTAATTTGTGTTTTTCTTTAAGCAAAACCATCCTTGGGTTAAAAAAGAAGTCTTTTTCCTCTTGCACTCTTATCTTTCTTAACAGCCTTTTCTTGGGTTTTCTTTTGCACAAAAATGTACAATCTGTATTATTATTATTTTTTGCATTTCAATGAAGGCGGTTCTTTGTTTGGTTTTTCCATGACGACATAAACTATTAACCTGATATTTAAATTTCTAAAACTAGAAGTACAAAAAGTTATTAAAATATTCTTTTCATGCGACGAAACGAGCTGCTAAANAGACGTTTTGTTGTGTAGTATCGCTGAGTATTTTTACTCGTTATTTGTATTTTGACTCGCCGTACGGGCCCGTGAAAATACGACACAACTCGTAAAAATACTCAGCGATACTACACAACAAAACGTCTAATAAGATTTATTTTTTAGGGTGTTGATTGTGGCTTTGATGTTTTCGATGAAAGGCTTATCTCAATACTGATATCAATTAAGGTATAACATGAAAAAAGTGATGTGTTAATTATCTTGGGTTGCTTCTTTGCTCTCAGTTTCTCTTGAATTTGATTGGTTGGTTGTGGTTGTGTTGGGTTTTAGACATAAGGTTGAGAGTCAGTCAAATTAAACTTATTGGTAAAATGCTGGCAATTATATCGAGAATGTTTGGATCAAAAATTGAGACTAAAATCAGAATAGAGACCTCGGAAAAAGCTTTTAGAGTTCGACATTTTATTTTTATCGTTATTAATTATTAAGCATGGGAGACCTTCCCTGTATTTGATCACCAGCAAAAAGTTCATGTTGACTCCACATTTTTCTTTCTCCCGTAAGTTTTTTTCTTTCCTTTATTTTTATTTGCTTCGTGATAAGGAAAAAAATAACAGTTTGTAAATTGAATTAGAAATAAACAAAGCTAAGCGAAATCATAGTTGCTTCTGAGTACTTTTTGTGGGGAACTTTCTAGATTTGTAGTTTTAATGTCACGTGAGGGGCAGTTTTAATTCGATCAGGGTATAGATGTTTAGAGGTATTTTATGACACTAGGTTAAAGTATGGAACCCTATGGTCCGACAATTAGTAAAAGCATGGACAAAACAAACAAAAATCGCCGACAATAATTCAAAACAACATTAAGCTTGCTGACGTTTATGGGAACGTAATAAATAACCTAGCTGCTGCATGAACGAAACAATGATTACTTACCAAGAATAAATACCTTTTCATACAAATCGAGTCCAAAAATTAACGAATCCTACCTGGGTTCTTCGGTCGTTGCTACTGTCTACTGCTTTTCTTTGTGGTCGTCTGTGTCCCGGCTTTTCTTCAGATCTTTGAAATTCAAGACTGTTTGCATCATTCAGTACGAGTTATATTCAAAGAAGTGGCTTTCTGTAAGCAATTCATGACTTTGGTCACCTGCTCGATCCGACACCATTCTCAATATGAAATCGCTTCACCCACTGGCCAAATATGTAAATTTTGTAATGAAATAACCCTTGATGTGCTTGTTTTGTTTGGGGAGACCATGGTTCGTTCGTTTTCGTAAACCGTCATTTATTTTGCACGAATAATCAAATTCACGACACAATGTTTCTGTATATACATGTAAGAGATCTTGACAGACTAAAACAGGTTTTAAACTGTTTTATATCTCTAATTAAATTGTTTGAAACGTTTTAGACATCGTTGGAAAGATCAATATTCAATTACTTTCCTTTTTTCATTTCATTTTATCTTATAATTGAAACGTGTCAAATTTTGCCCTGGGCCTAATAGGGCTAAAATGAAGTTATAATGAACATTAAGTTACGATGACAGAAGTTTGTAAATTATTGCATCAAACAGTATCATTACGCATTGTTCTTTGCTTATTATTATGCCAGGCAACAAGGTGAAGGTCATGCCAAGTCTTATTTCCTGGTTGATGGTTTGCTTTGATAGATGTTAGCTTGATATTTTTGAGAATTGAACACTGAGATCGTGGACTAAAGCTTATTTATCTATGGCGCTTTGGGTGTTTCGGTGTTATTCTGGTGAGACTTTATGTTGACAAAGATGAATAGCCACACCTTTCGATCACGTCTTCTTCCACATTAATGGTATACTTGAACATGCAGAGTTTTCTGTTACTGATTGCAAGTTTATGGAGTCGCACGGAGCATGATAATTGTTATTTCCCCTTTAATCTCTGACTTGAAGAAACGGTATAATTTGAATTCGAATGAAAGATGTCATAAAATTTTGATTTGCTTACTTAAGCGAGAATTGTTTTTGTAGACTTACCGGCGTGGCAAGGAGTCAGCAAGTTGTGTCCAGAGTGCAACTTAAAAATGTCCACCTCTGATCGATGGCGTCTTAAAAGTATTGATATCATCAGACAAATAGACAAGTAACTTAGTTACTTCTGACTTCTCGTTATAATTATGTGGAAATTCCTAACACGAAGGAGACTGTTTAATCGTATCATGAATTGTTGTTTAGTCGATTTAACCAGGTTTTTTTCGTCCGCGATAGTTTTGCTATGCATTTTAATACGATTGCTTTTCTTTGTCTTCAAACATGCATTCTAGACACTTCATTGGAAAGAATCTTATCTTAGTTGTACTTCTAATTTTGAACCTCAATGAAACTTCTTTGCTGTTGATTCTCATCTTAAATTCAGCATGATATGAGCAGAAAATGAACGTCGTGTTTGAATGCGTCCTCCAAATGAACTTAATTTGTTAAAAAAAAATCATACTTTTCTTCTATCGTCCACTAGCTTATTCAAGTTCCTCGGTACTTACCGAAAATCTGTGAAATGGAAGCGACACTTGTCATGCTACGCCTAATGTTAGGTCAGTGTTCATGTTTTGAACTCTTGTTCAATTAACTTCCTTAGACTCCCTCTGACGATAAGGTTTGTTTTTAAGTCGTGAAGAACAGTCCTTAATTTTAGGCCCCTTGTTTGTTCCGGACAGCTGGCAAAATAATTTCTTTTAACAAAGAACCAACCCTTTTTGTTTCCGTATTCCATTTCCCTGCATAAACAATGTGAAGAAAGTTCATTAAAGGTTTACAAATGCATCGAGTAGTAAAAAGATTTCTTTCAGTCGTAGAACAACGAGATTAAGCCAACAAAAGGCGTGTTTTCTAGAACTTTAATGCAAGAAAATAATTCATTTGCATATTGTTCGTCCTCAGCCTTGCTTTAATCTTTCTAGAAAGACCGCGATTCTGTTTTTTAGTCAAAATTTTCAAATTCTTCTCATTCATAAAACCACACCGGATTTGAACGACCGCCAACCCTGGAGCTCCTCACAATA